CACCAAATTATGTTTGCAGAAGTAAGTCATAAAAGACCAACTAAATCTCCTAAACCCAACATACCTTTATTTATAAAAACTTCAACCCTCCACCCTGCTATATATCTGAATTTTTCAAAGAGCCTAGAGCAAAGTGCCTTCTATCCAAGAGCCTTAGATGGCAATTGTTACAGAATTCATTCAATGGTATCACAGGACTCTGGAAATATGCTGGTATACTACAATTAAAATGGGATTTTAAAATACTGTACTTTGGCATTTTAAAAGTGTAGTGTGGTTAGGAGCATTAAACAAACAAAAGCCAAATATCATCTATCTGCAGAGAAGTCAAGTCTTTAGATCTGTCACTTGGGAAGCTGAAATTTATTTGCGCCAAAAGGAGAATGCAGCACTTGTGAGAATAAAAGAATTAAATTATCAGAACCTAAACATTAGTAAGGGGAACTCTGGTGGCCTAGCGGGTAAAGAGTTTCACAGTTAACCCAAAAGTACATGGTTCGAATCTACAAGATGTTCTTCAGGAGAAAGATGGGGAATTTCCTCCCATGTAATATACAGCCTCTGAATACCCACTGGAAAGCTAGCTGTGAATCTATTCCAACTCAATGAAGCATAACAACCACAAACATTATCAAGTCTATATTAAATCTGAATTAAAGGGTATATACTTCTCAACACCTCATTCTCTAGCCTGGGGGTTTCAGCGGGTCATCTGTGCCTTTCACACCCTGTCTCATCACCTACCATGTCTTACCAAAGAGCCCAGTGGATGTTCAGAGGCTCTATATTGCATGAGAGGAAATACAAGCCAAAGATTAACCCATCCCTGAGCATCCCACCCCACTTTGCCTTCACACAGTCATTTGCATTCAGGGGAAAGCAGAGAGGAAACGGAGCCAGTTGTTTTAAGTTACAAAAAAAAAAAGTTAATGAGTAGAAGGCCAATTATTTTAAATTAGAAAGTTGTATGAAATGAAGCAGGAAAGGATGTCATTTGCAACAAAAACAAAAAATAAAGCACATTTTACCAAACCCTAAATATAAGTGCTAAGTACAAATGGAACACGGGCTGAGCAAACTGCAGCTGCAAGGGGGGGCGTTGGGCCCAGGAAGACTTTATCGCTGAGACTTGCATACAGTCTTTTTTGTTCTGTGCAACTCTGCAGTGAAAAAAAGCAGACAGGCCAGATTTTAAAGTCCCATAATAGAGAGTAACTTTAATTAAAGTCTCCACAGGCTCACAACTTGGTAGTGCCTGGGGATTTTCCAAGTCTGCATTAGCAACCAATCCAAACAGAAAGGGAGCAAGTGAAAGAAATTGATTTAAAAACATGACAAAAAGTCAGTTTAATATAAACATCATAAATATAATATGAACAGAGCTGGCAGAGGGCCAAGTGGCTTGGCAGGGATTCAGGTAAAGCCAAGGTTGTGGGAGAGGGAAAAGAAATTTGAGCCCGATTTGCTTGGACAACACAGCTGGACTGGGTCGGTCACAAACATCTAAGTGTGGAGAACAAGGGGAAAAGGTGAAGAAAAAAAATTTAAAACTCTAAGAAGTCTAACCCCACACACTCATTTGTTTTCCTCCTGGATTCCCAAACTAGTTACTCTCAAGTCAGTCCTAAGCCATAGGCAGCTCAGATGTGTCAGGGTAGAATTGTGCTCCACAGAGCTTGTATGGTTGATTTTTACAAGAATATCTCTACTGGTTCCTTCCAAAGCACCTCTCAATGAACTAAAACTATTTTTTCTGCTCAGGGACTCCAAGCACCTTATTTTCTCCCTAACCAATACACCTCTGAAAGTTGGACAATGAGTAAGGATGACAGAAGAACTGATATCTGAGTTATGATGTTGGAGAAGAGTATTGAATGGACTGCTAAAAGAACAAAGTTGGCCCAGAGAAGGTACAGCCAGGGTGCAAGGATGGTGAAGACCAATCCTTGGAAAAGGTGGAGAGTCAGCAAAAAATGACCCTCAACAAGATGGAGTAACACAGTTACAACAGCAATGGGCCCAATCAGAGATGATTAGGATGGCACTGAATAGGGCAGGGTTCAGATCCATTGTTCATAGGCTCACTATGAGTTTTAGTCAACCTAAGGGCACCTAACAACAGTATGCCTGGCACTCAGGGTCCAGGCACAGCTAGAGCGCAGGTCCCTGTAGTTCAGCCCTACTTCTGTGTGACTGTTAGTAGTCTTACTTTCACTTCCCCTCCTCTGTGACATGATGGAGCAGAGCTCAAGGACCCTTGACACTCCCCCTTGCTCTAAAACGTCCTCGTCCTATAAAACGTATAGAAATCTCTCCATGAAAGTCTATCTCATGAGGAAGGGCTGATAAAGTCATAAAAGAAACAGTAATAGGAGCTCTCTTTGCTCCCAAGGACATTATGGTGCCCTATTCCCTAACCCAAAGGTGGCATGTTCAAAGCCATCAATAGCTCCAAGGGAGAAAGATGGGCAGTCTCCTCCTGTGCAGTTTGTTGTTGTTGTTGTTATTGTTGATTGTCATTGAGTTGAGCAAGACTCATAGCAAATCCTAAGAACAAAAGACCAAAGCTTTTCTATAGCTATCATCATTTCTCCAAGTTCACAGAGTTTCCACAGGCATGTGGTTTAGGAAGTGGATGCCACTCCTGCTTCCAAATCTGTCTTAAACTAGGAGCTCCACCAAATACTGTCCATCATGGGCAGCCGTGCAGTTTATAGCCTCCAAAAATCCACTGGAGGGTCAGCTTTGAGTTAGATTCTAACTTGATGGCGATGAATTTGAGTTTTTGCTCCTACATCCCTGGATGGTGGAAATAGTTAAAACTCAGATGTTAATCTAGAGGTTGGAGGGTCCAGTATATGCAGAGGTGCCTTAGAAGAGAGGCCTGGCTATTTACTAAAAGAAAAAAAAAATAAACATCAGTCATTGAAAGTCCTACTCTATTCTGACACATGTGGGGCCCAATAACGTGGAGGAAAATAATGCTGTCATTGCTTTGTTTCTGGAGCCCTCCATGGCACAGGGGAACCAGCTCTCATTTCCTACATGTGATCTTAGACCTAAATTAGCCCTAGTCTGTTACAGAAAAGAGAGCATCTCTTTGTTCTGAATTCTTTCTGCATATCAGTGGGAGGAAAAAAGGATGTCCTGAGAGTATAGCAGCACTAACCAGAGCCTTGAAGAAACCTTCTAACAGGACAAGAATCCAAAGGTCCAAATTTAAGAAAGCAAAGGTTGTGAACAAAAGGAATTTCTAGAAATAACAAGGGTGTACAAGTTGATGAAAAGATGCAGTCCCTGTTCAGCCGAGAGCCAAACAACCTGCAGAGTAAGCTTGTAAGGTCACCGAGGAAGGACAGAACCCAGGTCAGGCCAAGAAAGACAGTTTATTGAGGAGAAACTTCTGGGCTGCCTCAAAAGCAGAGACCAGCAGCTGCCTAAAGTTAGAGTGGAGTTTTATATTTTCTTACAAGGAAATTGGGGAGTTTGAATGTACACAGCTGTTTGGTACAAGATAAGGGAGCAGGTTGGGGTTCGTAGATAGTTATGCCTGGGAAAGGGAGGTGAAAAAGTTTTACAGCTCTCACGGAGATAAACAGAGTTGCAGCAGCTGCTTTGATCATCTCTGTGGCTGTTCTGGAGAAAGGGAAGGAGAGCAGCTCCCTAACAGAGCTTATCTGAGATGATGTCTTTACTAAAGACCAGGGCTGGGTGCTGTGACACGGAGGACCATGCCCTCAGCACTGCTTTTGTTTACTGTAGGGTTTTCACTTTAATTTTCACCATTAATCACATCACTGTTGTTGTTAATGGCCTTTAAATTAGCACCTTACTCTTGGGATCTCCATGCACAATAGAACAAAGCCCTACTGGCTCCTGCACCAACCAAGGATGATGATGGATAATCCAGTGATCTAGTGGGTTTTCAAAGGCTTGTTTCCAGCAGCAAATAGCTAGGCCTTCATTCTTAGTCCTTCTTAGTCTGGATCATATCACTCTCCACTGAATGACAATGATGAGTACATTGATCAGAAACTGAACTAACATATTCCACACAGAAAGGGAGACTGTAACTAGTGATTTGGCATAAAACTTGATCATAGGGCTCTAAGATTTCCCCACATTGCTCATTAAACCTCACAATGAACATGCAATGGAGTTGTTATTATCCTCCCACTTTACAAACGAGGAGATTAAGGTTTTCCAGAAACACCAGAGACACCACCTCTGCCACTTAGGAACTCACAGTCCTTGAGCGCCAGGAGGACTTACCACCTGAGCACAGTTTAGGGGCCAGGCCAATAATATCGATTAAACCCCAGGATACAGAATAAAACAGATGAAACTGACTCAATGGCACTTATCAGCAACAGTATACATTTAGGGACAGAATACAGGGAAGAATAAGAAGGCAAAAGGAGAGAAAGAAGAAAGGAAAATCCAAGGTGAAAGTCTAACTCAACAGATAAATAAACCAATCAACCCTCCTATATAGGAGCATGGTGTCTCCCTCAGAATGCAAAGGTTTTCACTGAGGGCCATGCGGCTCTTCTATCCCCACAGAGATGTGTGTACTGGAAGAGCTAATGTAACACAATTTAACAGAAATGTCCAAAACTTGTGTTTTCTGCTTTAAATCAATTCCTGGTCTGTGCTTTTCCTCTTCAAGTCCCAGAAGCTCACAGCACATAGACCTGTGAGATGAGGATATTTACAACACCTACAAGGGAGCTCTGGTGGCTTAATGGTGAGGAGTTACGCTGACAACCTGAAGGCATGAAGTTCGAATGAGAATGTTGGGATGTTCCAGGTGAGAAAGATGGGCAATCTCCTCTCACATAATTTACTGTTTCTGAAAACCCACTGGAAGGTCAGCTATGAGTTGATTCGAACTCAACAGCACATAACTACAAACAACTTTAGCACTGTGAACACCCACTCTTCCCTCACCATGGCTGCCCCACTTCCTCTCCTCAGTGAGGACAGCGGGCCCTGCTTACCTGGAGCCGGGGCCGGGGCCACAGGCACCAGCTCCTCTCTGGAGGCCTCACATTCCTTCAGCCTGTTCTTCAGCGTCTCAATTTCTCGGCGAATGGCAAGGACGTTGTTTTTGTCTAGTGTCTCCAGCTTCTGCACCAGGAGACTCATATTCCTTATCTAAAGAAATAAAAATTCAGAACAACTTTATATTATTGTGCAATTTCTTTCATAAACATTGCAGGGCTGAATCTGTCATTTAGTGAAACATTGCCAGTGAATCCATCAGAGATTCCCCTCGATGGTTTCATTTGGAAGAATACATTTTATGGTTTAGTGTGAACGCCTGTCAGATCTCAGGCAGATGTGTGTGTGACAGGAAGAAAATGGCAAAGATTTTAACAGCTTTAATAATAGAGCACAGGCTCGTTCTGCACATCCACAAATGTCCATTAAAGTTCATCTCTAATAACCTTCCCCATAAACTCGTGTTTACTCATGGTGTATCTCAATTAAGTTTCTAACAAATGTTGAGGGGCCAGAGGCAACTTAAATTCTAAAATAAATACGGAACAAGAATTTTCAATTATAACCCATGTTGTGACTGAACTTGGAAATTCTTATTGGCATAAATCACACCACCATGACTTTAATTGTGTAGTCTTTATCCCTAGATCTTAAAGGGTTTCACCACAACATAGGAGAAATCCCTTTAGTGATGGTTCCTAGTACATGAAGAATGCTTCCAAGAACGAGTGGGGATAGACAATCCTTCACAAAGAGTAATAGACCTAGCAAGTGCTTAGTCAGAGAAACAGCATATTTCTAGGAGGAGGCTCCTTTAAGTTTAGAGTAGAGGAGATCTTTCTTTGAAGGGCCTTGTCCATGAGCAGTTGTTCAGTTCAAGTAATTTCCTTTCTAGAGAAGTTAAAAAGCCATTCAGTTCTGGGTCAGATTCTGACCTTTAGGTGACTCTAGCTCCTCAGTTTCTGGGTGGCACAGGTAGTTTAAACACTCAGCTGGTAACCAAGAACCTGGAGGTTCAAGTCTACCCAGGGGAACCTTGAAAGAAAGGCCTGGTGATCTATTTCTAATGAGTTGTTGTTGCTAGGTGCTGTTGAGTATGACTCATAGCAACCCTATGAACAACAGATATGAACCCTGTTATATCCTGTGCCATCTTCATGCTTCCTGACACACTAGATAGAGCCCATTGTGGCAGTCACCACGTCAACCCACCTCTCCTTTGCTGACTCTCCATCCTTTGAAGCATCATATCCCTCTCCAAGGAATAGTCCCTCCTAGCAACATGCTCAATGTATGTGAGACAAAGCCTCATCATTCTTGCTTCCAAAGAGGACTCTGGCTGCACCCTCTAGAAAACAAAGCTATTTGTTCTTTTGGATGTCCTTGAGATGTTCAGTGCTCTTCTGCAACACCACAGTTCAAAGGTATCAACTCTTCTTCTGTCATCCTTACTCACTGTCCAGCTCTCAGATGCACAGTAAATTATTAGAAAGACTATAGCCTGAATCAGACACACCTTAGTCCTCAAACGACATCATTACCCGTCAGCAATTTGGAGAGGTCCCTAACTGCAGAGTTTCCCAGAGCAACGTGTCTCCTAATTTTCCAACTGCGAGTACCAAGGATTGTGGATGCAAGTAAGATGAAGTTGTTGACAGGTTCAATCTCTTCTCCATTCATCATGATGTTGCCTATCAGTCCAGTGGTAAGAATCTTTATTCTTGACACTGAGATGCAATCCATACCTAAGACTGCATGTCTTGATCTTTTGCAACAAGTGTTTCAAATCCTTCTCACTTTCTGCAAGCAAGTTTGTGTCATCTGCATAATGGAGGTTATTGATTAATCCAATCGTGATGTCACATTTCTCTTCAGAGACCAGTTTCTTGAATAATTTCTTCAGCATCCAGATTAAATATGTGTAGAGAGAGAATACAACCCTGACACATTCCTTTCTTAATTTTAAGTCATGAAATATTTCCTTGCTCTGTTCACACAACAGCCTCCTGGTCCAGGTATAAGTTTAGGAGTGCAGTTCTACTCTGTAACAAATGGACTTCCCATGAGCAGGAATCAGTTTGATATGCTTTGGTCCTCAGTCAACATGTTTCTAATCAACTTGGCATGGTATGGTCCCAAGCAACATGTATTTCTAATTTACTATTCAGGGCCAGACATTCATCCATGGCAGAGGAAGAGATTTGGCATGTGGTCATGGAAGAGAACAGATTTAGAAGTCAGTAGAGAGAGATCCATATCTCTGCCCCAGTACTTGTCCATAAGCTGCCTGATAGAGGCTATGAGCTAAAGAGAGGAAAACCTTCCACCAGATGGATTGACACAGCGACTGCCGCCAGGGGAATGAGCATGAGAGAAATTAGGAGGATGGCGCAGGGTCGCTAGGAGTTGTAGGTGACTTGATGGCACCTAACAACAACAACAAGAAGATAGTTTAGCATGAATACATTGAGCAGTAAATGCACTCCTTACCTCCACTTCCAATTGGTCTACAATTACTGAGCTTCCAACAAAATTCTGCTTCAGCTGGATGATCAGCCTCTCCATCTCCTTCACTTCTATCTTGATCAGCTCAAAGTCCAGTTCCGTGTAGGAAATGCTGTCCTTCTCCATGATCTCCACTCGAACAGTGAGGTTGAAGAGCTTCTTTTCATACACACTTATCATGTGGATGTACTCCTTTACCTAAAGGGAATCCAGAAACTCAGATCAGTTTCCAGAGTAACACTCCACGATGTTTGTCCACTGCTGAGCCCTTGAAGACTACTTGCTTTCATTCTGTTTTTACAAATAAATTGATCAAAAATATTGGACTACATTTTTTTCTTTTTACTATCCAAGTATGAAGGATCTCTAGTGGCCTAGTGGGTAAGGAGTTGTACTGCCAACCCAAAGGCTGTCAGTTAGAATCCACCAGCTGCACCACAGAAGAAAGATGGAAAATCTCCTCTCATGCAATTTACAGCCCCTGAAAATTCACTGGAGGATCATCTATGACTGAGTTCCAACTCGTTGGTGTAGAACACCAAAAATAACATCCAGATATGATCTAAAAAGAATACATTACTACAATTAGTGATAGGGAGATGATCATGCTTTAGAATCATCACCTTCAAATATGTTTTAATCTCCATTTTAAGGTTTGGAGACATCAATTCACTAAATTAGATCCCTTTGCATCATCCCCCAGTCCTCCCTCTCTCTACAACACACACACTATAGACTGAGGTTTCTCACCTTTGGAACTATTAATACTTTAAACGAGAAATCCTTTCTTGTCTGGGGCTGTCATATTATTGTAGGATAGTTAAGCCCCTCTCTCTTCTAGAGAGATGCTAGTAGCACCCTTCCCAGTGGTAATAATTAAAACTCTCTCCAGATTTTGCTAATTGTCCCCTGCGAGCGAAATCTCATCCTGTCTCCACCCTCATTTAGAGCCACTAACTCTAATATTTCTGTTGGTCATTTTTATACGCTGTAGAGTTGGAATTAACTCAAAGCTGATCCTCCAGCACGTTTACAGAAGCTGTAAATCACACAGGAGGAGACTGCCCCACTTTCTCCATTGGAGCAGCTGATAGTTTTGAACCTTTACATTGGCAGTGCACCTCCTTACTGCCAAGCCACCAGAGCTCCTAATATGTCCTGGAAGAGATAAAAATGTGTGAGGAAGAACTCTTTTGTGGATCACAAGGAGCAGTGAGCCTTCTACAAAGTGGCGTAAAGACACAATGCACCACACAATATGTGAGTGTACCCACAACTCCGAAGTGCTCATTTCATTAAGCACGCCTACATTTATTCCAAGAACTGATTATTGCAATCAGACCTTTAAATTACACATTTGTTGCATATATTTGAATGTCTGATCATTAAGTTAAAATATTTCCAAAAATTCCCTTGGTAGCTTAGTGTATAATTGGAATCTCCTAAAGGATATTTCAATAAACACAGTTGGTAGTGTTTTCTGTATCTCATCTCTCAAAGAAATGCTATGGCTTTTTCAAGGGCCTGCTCATTAAAAGCTGATGGTTTTACATTCTTTCCAAAAATATGAGCATAAGTGATACTGTGCCCCCCTGAACTGCACTCATGTCAAACAACCGATCTGCCGCGCCAGGATGGATTTACAGCCAGATGTTGGCCTCTAATCCTTCTAATACAAAAGGCAGCCCTAACTTCTGTCATTTCAGCCCTTCCACTTAACCCCACAGTGCAAATTACAGTAGACTCATAGGCCACGGACCTAAAGGCTTCAGGCAAAGAGGATTTTAATGAAAGTTGAAAATGCAGCCCTTGGCACTGTTAGTGTATCTCCTCAGGCAACCAATGCTCACTGCCATCATAAGTAACATCATCTCGGGATAAGAGGTTGGTGACATTTCAGTGGGTAGATAAGTTACATATGTGTGTTGTGTGTGTACGCGCGCATGTATATAGATAGATAGATATGTATTTACCTTAACCTAGCATATCCTTCTCAAAATCATAAGCACAGATAAAAGGTGGCCAGGTTTCAATTGCTATAGAACTCAGGCAACGAAATCTTGCTTGTGATAAAAAACAACACCTAAAGTGCCAATGCATTGCAGAAATGAAGGTTTGAGAAATGAATATGCTTGCTGGCATCAGGCTTTGCCAGCTCTTGGAACAAATGAAACACCCTCCGCTTTCCTGGAACATTCTGGTGGCACATCACAGCTGTTGTTCTACACACACACACACAAATGAGTGATTCAAGCGTTATCTCTGCTAAATAAAATGTGGCTCTCCCAGAGTCTCACAGAGCACCAAGGCATCCGCTGGAACTTTCATATTGATATGATTATGTGGTGTGCTTGTCTCAGTCCAGCCAAAATGAAGAGTTGCTGGAGCCACTGGCTGGTGCAAACAAATGGTGAACATGCTTGGCTGCTACCCAAAGGTTAAAGGTTCAAGTACAGCCAGGAAGCCTCAGAAGAAAGGCTGGAGACTTACCTTTGATAATTCAGCTACTAAAAACGCTACAGAGCATGGTTCTGCTCTGACACACACGGGTCACCATGACTTGGAGTCAACTCAACAGCAATTGGTTTAAAGGTTTGTTGGAGGGGAAAGCTTGCAGTTCTTTCCAGCTGACATTTAAAGGAAAGCTTAGTGACATTCAGGAACTCTGGAATTATCCATGAAATGTGAAAGCAAGAGGAAGCTTGAGGCTGGGCCAGAAAAACTTCCTAGTGGAAAGTATGTGGATTTGAGCAGGTCACTAATCCAAGTATGCCTCTGAAGGGTCAGGCAGAGTGGACAATTCTAAGAGCTCCTCTTTCTTGGAGTAGTCCCACTTCAGCAGAGGCAGCTCACCTTCTGGAGGGTGTGCTCAAAGAATGTGGTTCTAATCCCAGGGGAACATATCTCTCACCTCATCAACCTATTACCACAGAGTCTTTGTCAGTAGATGTTTCAGCACCAGCAGATTAGAAGACTCGACTCTGCTTGATTTTAAACCACCAGCCTAACTTTTAGAACAAACCTTAGTTTGTCCATTACGAATTTACTGTGTCATTGGCGAATCCTAAGAATCAAAGTTTGTGGTGGTGGTTGGTCTGTGTGGTGACTGGACAAATGTAGCCTTGTAACAAATAAGAATGGAGTGTCTGTCTGTTGAACTAAAGGGGTCTGTTTTGTGTTGTTGCCAATCCTCCAAACCTGTGATCATGACTGTGGTCAGATTACTAGAAATAAGTCAACAGATGCCATAACCCTCTGTTATGTTCAATAGATATTTAAAACATGCATAGAAGGTTAAGAGCACCTGAAGCAATCATTGAAATGCTGGGGAAAACAATGTGTGTGCATAGTGAAAGTGCTTAGTATTCTGGAGTTAGACAACCTGGGCTCAAAACTGAACTCAGCAACTAGTGAGTAAAATCCTGGAATTTCTCTCTTGGTTTCTCTCTGTGAACCAAGGGGTGATAGAATCAAGTTTGTAAGATTATTGCAAAGAAACGATGAAAGTTACAGAAGTGTTCAGGTCTCTCATTCATAGGGTCACTATGAATCATCTACGACTCGACGACACTTAACAACAGACAGAATGCTCCGGAAGTGCCTGTCATAACTGAGGTAGTTGTAACTGCTGATCACTCAGTCCTGACTCCTGGTGACCTCATGAGAGCTGTGCCATGGGGTTATCAAGATCATGAACTTTCAGATCAACACTGAGTCCCGAGGAGCCTCTGCGAGGGTTCAAAATCACCTTTCAGCAACCATTTGCACTCACCCAGGACTCCTGCCTAATATAAGAAATGCTCTATAAATTTCAAGAATTATAAACTGATTTAGTGTTTTCCAAGCTGACTTTCTAGTTTATTACTGTTCACTGCATCAAATGGTAAAACAGTTGCTTGATCCATGCTGTGTGTTCCCATTCGCTAAATGTCTCCCAGGCTGCCTCAACTTTCTTATTCATGAGCATCTATTAGCAAATGTGACATATTAAATAACCTACCCCAAAGACCATATATCCCCAGGGAAAGAGTGAGCCCTGAGCTTTTGTGTAGGACCCTTTCTAAGTAGAGTCATGAGAAGACAGATCATAAACAACAAAAGTATAAAATGCTTTCAGCATCTTATGCAAAGGCAGTTCCTGTCTTCTCTGTGTGATGACAGATAATGAATCAACATAAGGCAGCCAGAAACCTTTCTGACTGGTCTACCCGAAGCAGGCATTCCCCTGGGCCTTGAGATAAATGGTGATTTCCGAGGCAACCTGGAGATGGTGATAATAATTCACCTGGAAATCCAAAAGCCTTTCGCTGAAGCGATGGCTTTCGCTTTGAAGGCATTACTGATCAGCTGCATCTCTTCTTGGGACTGCTCTGAAGAATGAGAACAGTGTAGCTGAGAGAAATGAGAATATGATAATTCCAAAGACCCAAATGTTCATCTGGCTTAACCAGCCAGGAGACAAATGAGGTCAGGAAAGGTCTCCTCACCTCTATTAACCTCAGTTTCCCCATCTCTAAAATGGGGTGGACAGAGCCTGGCATCTCTGCCTGGGAGAGTGACTTGAAGACAGATTAGAACTGGAAGTATTTAGAAATGCACAGTCAGAAGCTGTGACTTTTCTGATTGTGATTATCACCAGTCACATCAGATCTATTCTGCAAATCTTAGCTGGCAGGCCAATTTTTTTTTCTCCCTCAGGCTTCAATTGCAAGTTGCTCTAAAACCTATTATTGACATTTAGAACGAAAAGTTTTCCCTCCTCCTTAACCCTTCTTTCCTGCCAACTACTAGCAAGGCTGATGCCACCAGGTCCCCTTACAGGATTAGAATCAAATGCCCCATATTTCCAAACCTGCCAAACAACATAAGACACTCTGGTGGCACTGCAGTTAACCAATAGATGAATGGTACTAAGCCACGAGAGAAGGATGGGGCAGCCTTTTTGCGTAAAGATTTGCACCAGTGCATACCTACGGGCAGTTGTTCTATACGGGTTCTACGAGTCAGCCTCAACTCCACAGCAAGGAGTCATGGCCACACTGCTTGCACCCCCTGGAGCAGAATGGGACTTCGACCCACCCTTTACACTCCTGGCAGCCAAGAAGACATGCAAATCAGGAGCTTCCAAGATTTCAGAGCAATGACTCTAACGGAAAAGATCTTTACCTAGGATTTTCCTGCACTTGTTATGTTTTTATGCATAACTTCTTATCTCTACTTGATTATGCTGGAATAAGGCTATGAATATTAATGCCTAGAATTTATAATTTAGCGCTGTGCCTTTTCTGCTGATTAATTCAAGGACATTTTATTTCTCAAGAAGCTTGGTTCCTGGAGTAGTCAAACATATTTTCCTGGACATTCGCTTAAACTTAGAATATTTATCTACCAATTCAGGCTGAAGGCAGGGTCTCAGCCTCACAATAATTTTTGTCATAAAGGATAACTGTACTGGACATGGAGGTGGCTCAGCTTAAATTCTTCAGGAAAACTTATTTTGGATCTTGCAGTAAAGCCAGAGCACCTAACAAATTAATGGAGCTGCATTAAATAATGCATAATGTGATTATAGCCTGCCTTGGACTTCACCTGCACAGAAAATGGGAGTTTTCTAATTGATTTTTAACTTGACTAGGAAGGTGGATGGGGTCAAATCTGGAACACAAAGTCACATTGCACCATCCAGTGTCAAGAAAGCCAAGTCCTTTAGGTTAACTTCATCTGGCTGGAGAAAAGCAAAGGGTTGAGTCAGGGTTTTTTGTCAAAGCTGAGTGGCCTATGAGTCAAACTAAAATTCCTAGGGCAATCTTCAATTTTGACTCAACACTAGATGCAATGTTCCTGTTAAGACCATAGAAGGTAACCACTAAGGAAAAGAGAGAGAGGAAGCAGGCAAGGAGGAAGACAACAAGCCAGAAAAAGAATATAAGCTGAAGAACAAGTAAGAGGGAAGGCAAGAAAGAGGGAGAAGATTTGGGAGAGTGAAAAGGAATAAGGAACCCTGGCAGTACAGTGAGTAAGTACTTGACTGAAAGGTTAGCTGTTCAAGCCCACCAGTGAGCAGACTGCCAAAAGAATGAACAGAGATACCTTAGAGAAAGTATGTCCAGAGTGCACCTTGGAAGCAAAGATGACAAAGCATCATTCATATACTTTGGGCACATTACTAGGAGAGGCTATTCCATGGGGAGAGACATTAAGCTTGGAAAAGGAAAAGAGAGAGGAAGACCTTCAATGAGAAGGATTGACACAGTGCCTGTAGCAATGCGCTCAAGTGTGTCAGAGATGATGAGGATGGCACAGGACAGGACAGGGTTCAGATCTGTTGTTTTTGGGGTCACAATGGGTCATACTTGACTTGATGGCACCTCACAACAACAGTCGCTCCGTGGCATAAAGATATGGCAATCTGCATCCATAGAGATATACATGCTTGGCAATGCTATGGGCCTGTTATGAGTTGGCATTGACTGGATGGTGGGGTATTTCGTCTGAAGGAGGAGATGCTGGCTGCATTATCAAGAAAATGTTTCTTATGTTGTTATCATCTGCCCCTGTGCACTGCAACCTATGCAAAAGTGAGATATAATGGAAGGGGTAAGAAAAAAAAAAGAAGGGAAGGAGAAGGGAAACTAGGAGCTATGGACAAGGAGAAGGGCTAAGCAAAGAAGAGAAATTAGAAACAAAAGACAGAATAGGAGCCGGAAGACACTGTGGAAGAGAACAAAGAAGGACACCAGCAGGACGAGGAAGAGCAGCAAGACTGTGGAGAAAGAGCTGAGAGGAGAAGAAACAACACGAGCAGGACAAAAATCGCAGGGCTGAGGTTTGCAAGGAGCATTTGAGATTCATTTCAAACGGCACGAGCAAGGCAACACTGGAGTGAGATTATCCATGGCGTGAATAATCTCGAGCCCACTTTCTTCCTGTGTTCTCATTTTCCCAGCCATCAAGAACTTCCTAGGTGTGCTGTAAAATAAATGCAAACACTCCCACAGGATACAAATGTGCTGCTTCTGATGCTTGCGAGGCTTCTGCTGGGTGGAGGGGAGTGTTGTGTTTTGTTCATTTTCATCAAGATAATATTGAGAAGGAAGAACAGAAAATGCTTACTTTAGAAAGTTCTGTCCGGAACGTCTCAGAGAGACTGTGAGCCGTGGATTCCAATTGTTCCACTCTCTCCACAGGAAAGGTGGCGTCTGGCAGGAGAACGGAGCACTGGCAAGTTCCATGGTCATTCATGGAGCCAGTGAAATTGGAAAATGGCTGTAAATGAAAACAAATTCAGTATCAGCAATAAGGTAGAAAATGAGCTTTTTGGCAACCGGAGTGACTGAAATTGGCTTATCAGAAAATGTTGCTGCTTCTTGTTACCTGCACTCAACCCACTGCAACCCACACATGAAAGGACAAACATTGCCCAGTCCCGCAGCATCCCCACTGGCTATAGATGAGACTTTTTATTGGCTCATTTGGGAAGCAGATTGTCAGGCCCTTCCTCTGAGGAGATCGTGGTCTGAAAAGTTCATTGGTCTAGAATCGTAGGAGCTCGCAAGCGCCCACTGACAGATGAGTCAGGGAGGAGCACTGGCCAGGAACAGAACTTCAGCCTCCTTCACGGAAAGTGAGAATTCTCCCACTGAACCACCGCTGCCTCCAAGAGAGTGCTTAGAGGCAAACAAGCGGAGCTCAACATCTACATGGAAAAGGTAACATCCTGTTGTCATGGGTGATAGCTGTGCATAGCTTTGCCATCTCCACCATGTTTCACCAAACTACTATGTTAGCAATCTACTTAAAGGTAAACTCTTCATTCTTGAAAAGTTTTAAAGGAAAGCATCACAGCTCTGTGTAAGGAAAGTATTGCTATGTATGGTGGTGCAAATGGTTAAGCATTCAGCATCTAATAAGAGGATTAGTTCAAATTCACACAGCTGTTCCATGGGAAAAAGCTCTATTATCAGTTTCAAAAAAACATTGCAGACCAGAAAGGCCTATGAAGCAGTTGTGTTCTGGCACACAGAGTTGCTAGGAGTCAGAACCTATTCAATGGCACTTAACAACATGGAAAGAAAGAAAACAAACAAGCATTTCCTCTCCCCAAAAAACTAGATGGTTCCCAGTTACAACTACGAACTGTTTTAATCAGGGTCACAAAAGGTGAACTCTGATAGAACTGGATGAAAAGTGGAACAGAATTCAAATTCTTAAATGTCCAGAGCTATGAGATCAAATGAAACCAGAGGACTCCCTGAGTCTTTGACCCTGAGGTATGCTGTAAAACTTAAAACAAAGCTATCCTTTGAGATCGCCTTTCAGTGAAATAACAGACCAACAAACAAAATAATGTTATTACTTATAAATACTACTCTACAGCTAAAAATTATAAAAACATCTCTATGATACCAAGAGGGAGCTCTGGTGGCCTAGTAGCAAAAAGCTGTGCTGCAATTCCAAAGTTATGCCATTTGAATCCACAAGCTGCTCTGTAGAAGGATGGACAATCTCCTCCCATGCAATTAACTACCTCTGAAAACACACTGGAGGGTCAGCTATGGGTTGATTTCAACTCAAGAGTACTCAAAAACAACATATGAGACCAACAGGCCAACAAATATTTTGAAGAATAAAGATAAGGGAAACCAGAATATTGGAAATGGCATAAACAAAAAGAAACTAAAAAGAATTAGAACACACTATGAAAATTGTATCTACTTTTACTGAAAAATTTATCTAGAAATTGGAACCTAATTTGTTGTATAAATTTTCACACCAAAAAAATAAATACCTTTTTTTAAAAGAAAATAGAGGTGTAATGAGGGTTTTAGGTTTGAATTCCAATTCTATGACTCACTAGACACAAACCTTCTTAAGCCTAAATTCCTTAGTCTCTAAAAGAAAGCTAACCTACTTTGTAAAGCTTCTTCTAAGGACTAAATGTGAGCCAAGTTCCTGGCACATAGTAGGTGCTGTGTTGTTGTTGTTGCTGTTGTTTACTGTCAAACTGGAACTGACCCATATCTCACTGTCCAGTGGGTTTTCAGAGGCAGTAAATCACACAGGAGGAGTCTGCCCACCTTTACCCTTCAGGGTGGTGGGTGGATGCGGACCACGTGCCTTTGGGATTGCATGCAGGTTCTTATACTAGGCTACCAGAGCTCTCAAGTGAGTACTAATAAACATGCATTTTTCCCTTTCATTCTACTCATTCAGTTTTTCACCTTTAGCCTAATCTAAACATAATTCCTTCCAATATGAAAGAGAAAAGCATTAAGAGTTTGAGTTACAATGAAAATACTGTCATCCCTTATCCACCTGGGAAACCATTTAATTAATATCTTATACAAGGAAAAGGGCAGAAATAAAGCAGTCATTCATCAGAAACTCGACAATGTCTGAGTTTGAAAGTTTGGGGCAATATTTTTTAACAAAAATATTTTCGTTACCACTTGCAGAAAGGCCATTTCAAAATATTTGATGTTTGTTTAAGATATTCAGGCTCAAAGTTTGCTATTGAGTATTTTTAAATGACAAGTTGAAAAGATCCTAATTTTCTTTCACCCTCTTGAAACTCCTTTGAGGGGATCCCAATAAAATTAACTTATTATTATTACTATTACCATTGCCTCAAGAGTAACTCTTGGCTGTAGTTGTCAATGATCTCAACTGAAGGTTCACAGCTCACCCCATGAGACATCCTCCTGAAGGTGTCTTTGCAAAACTACCAACAGGCTTCAGAAACTGAAGGAACACCAGCCATAGCTGTCCAGGTTCAGAAAGTCAGCTAGTAGTTTGCATGCTCTATGTCTACCAACAGCCATGACCGCTGGGCAAGCTGGAACTAGATGGCTTCCAGTTAAAGTCTATTCTCATTCCTGGTGACCCCCACATGCATCAGAGCAGAACTCTGGTACCTTTGGATGGCTTTAGACTACCAAGCTTTCTGTCAGTAGCCGAGCTCTTCACCATTGTTCCACCAAACAATGATAAGTCTAAATTTCCACAGTCAAGATATTCCATCCGTGACTTCTGGGGTGTTTCAAGGTTTTGACAATTGCTATTTTTATTGTTAGGTACCATTGAGTTAGAACTGGCTCAGAATCGACCCTCCAGTAAGTTTTCAGAGACTATAAATTGTATGGGAGGAGACTGGCCATCTTTCTCCAGCAGAGCCATAGGTAGATTCAAATTGCATGCCTTCAGGTTGTCAGTGCAACTCCTTACCATTAACAACCAGAACTCCCAAATTTGACAATTAAGCTTCTTTTAAACTAACCTAAGAATCAAGATGAGCAGAAAAAGAATTATATTTAAGAGAGAGATAATAGATAGATAGATGATAGATGATAGATAGATAGATAGATAGATAGATAGATAGATAGATAGATGATAGATAGATAGATAGATAGATAGATAGATAGATTCTTGAAAATGGTCTCAATTTTCCTTTTCTATAATTCTCTACACCTGCAGGAGCTGGAGAGTAAGAAGAGATACTGCTAGACTTATGCTGACTCCAGAGGCAGACATGAGGAAGGATCCTGGTCAAGGATGGAAAAGGACTGGAAGAGATAAACCAGTGGCCTGTCAAAGAGGCCAACTTCCCTGAGATCTAGCTTTATCACACCCTCTGAGGAGAAACATTCCAATTTGAATATCCCAAGACTACAAGACTATTATATGAAAGACCAACAGAGCACAGACTTTAGAAGAAATACTCAAAATTCAGCCCATTGCCATCAAGTGAGTCAGAATCAACTCAGAGCTGACCCTCCAGCAGGATTCTGAAGCTCTAAAGCTCATAGGAAGAGATTGTCCAATTTTTTTTCTCCCTCTGAGCAGCAATAGCTTATTATAAATAACTGTCTAGTAAAGCAAACAAACAAAAATCTCCCACTTCAAATTGATAATAAAACCCCAAAACAAGCTAACAAACAAAGAAACCACACTGTGATCCAGTTGATTGCAACTCCTGACAACTGTGAGACGAGGAGGACTGTGCCAGGGGGTTTTCAAGGCTCTGGGTCTTCAGGAGAGCAGCCAGTTTTCTCCTGCCCCAAAGGGACTGCTGGGGGTTTGAAGTGTCCAACTTTTGGTTAGCAGTTGAGGGCTTTAACCACTGCACTCTACCAGTGTTATCTGCATTTTTACAAGGGCCGATTGATTAATTACACAAGGCAAAGTTCAACCATTTTTAGCATTCTCTGAAAAGCTCTGTCAACTTTTTAAAAAAAAAGTTATTATCATCATGTAGTCTCTAGACAATCAACTAGGAGCCACTAGCTAACAACTTTTTGTCCTGAAGTTCACCTGAAAGACAGGCAAATAATTACGAGCCCTCTGTCAGCTATTCCACTGACTTCTATTGAACATCTCTGTCCCAACGCCGTGGACTCCCCAGCTGCCATCCTGCTCCTCACCTGCTCAGCGTGCACAGCTGACATCAAAATGGTTCATAAGTTTGATCAGTGTCTCCCATTAGAGATATTTCTGCTCCTCGTATTCAAAGACAATGAAGCTAATGGTGATGGGTCTCTCTCTGAGGGGAATACTTAAATTCTATTTGAAAGGAACATAGGGACTGGGGACAAAGACTAGTGTTTGTCTCCTTGGCCCTGGGAAGGGCACACACTTCCCACTGCCTAAGGCAAACTGTGTCAACAGGACACCACACTGATAGGTTCACACTCACTCAATATTCAATCCTTTATCCTTCGCTGCTCTCTGTAATGTGATAGACTCTTGATTTAAGGAGATCTTAGGCTGCATGTTGTTGTCGGTTGGCTCCATGGTAAGGACTTCTATTTTCAACGCACATGATAGGTGGAGAAAGGATTGATGCTGTCAGTGATTTCATCTTGCTTGGATCAGCAGTCAATATTGTTGGTACTAGCTTTAAGGAGATCAGGAGACTTTAGAATTGGGCAAATCTACTGTCAAGAACCTCTCCAAAATACTTAAGAGCAATAATGTCAGTTTGAAGACTAAGGTGCACCTGATTCATGTTATGATCTTTTCAATCGCCTGCTACACATGTGAAAGCTGAATAATTAATAAGGATGACAGAAGAAGTGATACTTATGATTTGTGGGGCTGGAGAATACTGACCGAGTAATCCATGGACTGATAAAAGAATAAGTGGATTTGTTTTGGAGAAAAGCAGGCAGACTGCATTTTGGAGGCAAAGACAATGAACCATCATCTCTCATACTTTGGACACGTTGCTAGAAGAAGCTTTTCCTTGGAAAGGAACATCA